TAAATCATAAATTTTGATTCATCAGACCAGATTACTTTGCTCCAGTCTTCTATAGTCCATTTTTGATATTTTCTTGCAAACCTCATACGAGCAATTCTATGTGTTTTTTTAAGATATGGTTTTTTGCACTTCACTCGTGCACTCAAACCATTTCGGTGTAATGTCCTCTTTATTGTGCACTCACTAACATCAATTTGATCATCAGTTCTTAATTTTTTTTGGATTGCAACTGCATTTGTGCACTCGCCTGTTGTAATTAATTGTACAACATTTCGTTCAATACGGTTAGTTATAAGTCTTGGATGACCAGATTTTGGTTGATTCTTAAATGTACCAGTCTTATCTTTACGTTGTTTAATTCTTATAACTGTTGATTGTGAAATAGTTTCTTTATTTGCTACATAACGAGAAGGATATCCTTCTTCAAGTAGTGCATAAACCCGGGCTCTTTTTTCAACAGGTAAATATACCATGAATAGTTTAAAAAAAAATTAATAACAGAGTAAACAATAAGGTACCTTTTTTATATGCACTACATGGTGTGTTTAGAAGAAAAAAAATTTTGTATATCTTGTTTATGTTTATTTTTCAAAACGATCAAAAAAATGCATCGCGGGTTCTGAACATTATTTTTATTTCTGAAAAAATTTTCAAAATAAATAAAAAAAAGATGATGCGGGGATAAATATAAGGTTTGACAAAACTATTAATGAAGTATTGTAGCACTGTGTTCCCAGAATCACAAGATATTAAAATTTTAAAAAATTTGTTCAGGTGATGCAATACTTTTGATCGCCACTGTATAAAACAAAATGTAATATCAATTTAACAATCATTCATCAATACAAAGTACTCTAATCGTTGTCACTGCCTTTTAAAATAAAATTATGTTAATTACAAATTTACTTATTGGATATGAGAATATGAAATAATCATGAGTTTTAATTTATTTTTAATAAAATAAAATAAATTATTAATCCAAACATTACATGTACTGTAGAATCTTTACCATTTCCATCACTTCTTTTATCAAAAATTTAACTATCACAAAAAAAAACTTTGAGAAATAAGGAAAACACAATAAATAAACACACCATTCTATTTCTCACTTCATAACAGATAAACACAAATATTTTCATTAAATATATTTTTATTTTAATAAATGTTTTAATAAATCATGATAAATTTTCTAAAATAATAAAATAAAAATAAAAATAAAAAAATAAAAAATAAAAAAAAAAAAATATGAAATATTATAGATATTAAGGTAATAAAGAATAATTTATCAAATTAATTAATTAATTAGCTAACTTAACTACAGAATCAATAACTAATTACAAAATTCATTGCCTAAATTCATCGATTAGTTAATTCATAAGTTTTCTAAATTTAAAATATACATTCCATAATAAATTCCTCTTCATCCAATAACCAAGCATTTATTAAAACTTTTTAAATTGATAATTAAAAACAATTAAGAATAAAGATTAATAAATTTAAATATATTTAAATAAATAAAGTCAATAAAACATATTATCCCATAACAACATCACGCATACTCATTCCTAACTCTTACCCACATACCTTTCCATACACTATACATTTGTATCCAGGATATCGGATTGAAGTGAAGTAATATATCCCACATTCCTAACAATAAGAAATAATAAATTAATATCTATCAAATAATATAAATATATAATATATGAATATATATAGTTACCATATAATTGACCGAAATTCACAATTCTATTTTATCAATTGATAATCTTTTCCCTATTCTAATTGATATTATTATTCTCATCATTCTCACCAATAATTCTAATTTGAATTATGGTTAATACAAAATTGATTAAAAAGAATTCAATATCAAATTAAATCTGAAAATTTTATTTCCTAAATACATTTCTATCATATTTCATATGAAGAGATTCTTTATCTTCCGATGAGGAAGAAGAAGATCAGACAATTCAGATTCGACTGATAAAACCAAGAATTGACTTGATGCCATATTCATTTAATCGATTCATTAAATCTATTATTTTTCATCAGTTTCACCTCTATAAAAATATATACATTTTTATAATTATACACTAGATATTCTAAAATACTTAAATTTACATCATTAAATACAGTATATACAGGGTTAAATGCAATGCTTACCCTCAAAATTGATTAAAAAATGTCTTTCTAAAATATGAAAAACATTATGATCCTCAACAGTTAACTATCGCGACATTTTAACATGAGATAACACATGACAAAATACAAATTAATAAATCTAGATTTTACATTTTATGGTGTAATGTTATACCTGTTTGAAAAATTCCTAAAGTTGTTAAATTTCGGTCATTGACAAATATAAAAAAGGAAAAGTAAACATGAATACTAAATTTTATATCATTTTTTTAAAAAATATTATTCTAATGTAAACGATAAATGCAAAAATTTATTGATACACGAATTTATATTTATTTTTTTTTAATTAAAAAAAAATAAACTTCCATCTTACATATTATAAGCAAACAGAAAATGTCTAAAATATGCCAGAATGCAATCAAGAGTATGATTATAATGATGATATTTGGTGCAAACCATGCATCTCAAAACATTTCAAAAATGTTTTTGATAAATGGACAAACGGAAACAATACAGTAAATAAACTTATTCAAGATACTCCACTAAATGCTGATATTCAAAACATAATTGAATGGATACCTTATGATAGATTTCAAGACATTAAACAAATAGCAAAAGGCGGTTATGGTACCATTTATTATGCTAAGTGGATTGATTGAAAGTATTATGCATTGGGATATTGAAAATCAGCAATGGAAAAATATGGTTAACTTGGAGTAGCGTTAAAAAAGTATGATGGTATTGTAGATATAAATGAGGTAAAGTAATATTTTAAATTTATTTGAAAATTAATAATAATATTATAATTTAAAAAAATATTAAATTTTATTGAGAACCAATAGTATAGTGGATCGTCATCAGCCTATCTTTTTGGAATTACAAAAGATCCAGATCCGGAAAATCACGAATATATGATGTTTTTTGATTATTATTCCGGTGGAAGTCATAGGAATTATTTAAAAATTCATAAATTAGATATAGTCCATCGTGATTTTCATTCCGGAAATATTTAAAAAGTAGTTTGGAAACCCATTATATATATATCAGATTTTTGATTGAGTAGATTAATTACAGAAAACGTGAAAAATCTTCAAAGGAATACCATTTCTGGAGTATTACCCTATAGCTCCTGAAGTATTAATTGGAGAGAATATACAAAAGCCGCTGATGTTTGTTCATTTGCATTTGTTGTCTATATTCCCGAATTACATATCGAGCCACTTTTAAAGAATTAAAGAAAGAGCTGGATAAATGCTTTCATGATTATGAAAATAATTAATATATTGATTTTGCAATTCAAATTAAAGAAGCCGAGAATTTTCAAAAATCAAACAACAACTGATTGTATAACGGCTACAACGCCGATAAATTATAAAACACATCCGCAAGCAATTTATACCAGTCGACTTCTCAACTTTTCAAATCTTCCAAAACCTAAAAATGGAGAAGATTTTGAAAAAAAAAACTTGAAGAATTAACAAAATCTTTTTATCAAATAAATTCTAGTAAGTATCAATTATATATTTTACTAGCGTAGGGCCCGTGCCTCCGGCACGGGGATTTTTTTTTGTTATTTATTTTTTCTCCTTTTTCTCCTTTACTATTTTTATTATTGTTTTTATATTATTTACACATGAATCTATCTGTTTTCCTTTACGTTTTTGATTTGTTGCTATTTGATTTCGCGTTAGTGGGTGTCTGTTTCTAATTTTGCACATTCAATTGTAGTTCTTATGACATTTATTGAGTGCGTAACCACAATGAGTTTAATAAATGCAGGAGAATATCAAAATAATAATTAATAATGGTACTGTATTTCATTTTACTTTTATTATTTTTACTTATATGAGTCATTTAATTTTTTTTTCTACAACATAAATAAACAGAATTTGTATATAAAAATGAAAAATGAAAAATAAAAATAAAAAACAGGTTTCTAATTCAAAACAATTATAAAATATTGAAACTTATTTATTTGTTATTTTTAATTTATTCATATATCATATTATTTTACCGTATTTATTAAACTAATTCTAATTACTCAAAAATTCCTTAAGCAACACATTTTAATCAAATTACTTAATAAAAATTAAATAACGTATTAAATTAAGATCAAATGTAAATATAAATATCCCTGTCTCTCATCTATTATTATGTACAATGCTGCTGTAATTCTCTGAATTAGTATCCCTTAAACGGTAAATCATGACCTCACTACCGTTTAAGGGATATGAATTTGTATATATGAAATACATGAATAAGACTTTAATTTCTCATCACGAGTACATGATACATAGGGCGGAACCCAACTTAAAATCAATTTGTAAAATCATTATCATAATGAATTAGAAACATTAAAACTGAAAAAATTATTATAATTTATCAAATTATTATAATTTATTAAATTAATCATTGATCTATTGGAATAATAAATTAATTAAAAATAAATAATAAAATTAAATTGTGCACTTAATTTAAATAATATATGTTCATAATAATCTTTCAAACTATACCTGCATTATTATCTTCATATCATTTTACTATTCTAAAAAATTATATAATTCAGTGTTAAGTTAATAAATCACATAATAATATTACTTCATCTTAATTTATATCATACCATTTTTCCAGAAAATTGGTTAATTGCAATATCATTTTTACCAATATTATTTGTTTCTACTTTGACAGTGTTAAATTAAATTGTATAAATACATTAAGTGATAATATTCTATAACGTAATTTAGATATTTGGTCATACCTACAATATCATTTTGGTATTACTTTTTATTATTTTATCAAATTAATTTCATAATTATATATATGTTAAGGAAGTGTCATTTGGAAAAAAAAAGTATTTTTTACGTAGATATCATTTCTTATCAATTATATAACATTATCCATTTATAAAATCTAGATTTATGGCACAGTAAAAAATTTTAAATGTACTACTAAATTGAAAAAAACTATTATTTTTAATTAATAAATTTTACTTTACACTTGAGTCTTGGATAAAATTTAAATTTATGGCACAGTAATTCACTACTAAAATTTTAGCATCGAATATTGAAAATCATAGATAAATTAAAAATAATTCATATGTGCTCAACAGCATGAGAATTCGCTAGTAAATAAATGCATGATAGTTTAAAGACCACCAAGTAAACCTAATAAAGCTTGGAATTCTATTGGATCATAAATAGGCCCAACTGCTTCATCTTCGATTCCATCAAAATTAGCATAGTTACTATATAACCAACCCAAATTCGTATTTGGATCATAATTCATTATAAAAGGAGCTCCGCTTGCACCATTTCCTAATTCTAAGTCAGGTATGGCATAATAATCTTCTGCCAAATTTGGTGCTCCTTCCCACGTACAAAGAGTTACTCCATTATTTGGACAATTTGGAAGATTACCTCCATCTGGATAACCGCAAATAACAGTTCTGACATTACCACCTACATTGAATATCCAACCGAGAGATCCCGTATAATATTCTAATGGATAGCCATTAAGATTAAATGCAAATCTCATCATGCCCCAATCAAATTCATCATCATTATGAGCACGAAATTGGTCTGTTACTACCGCCTGAGCGACAGGAATCAGATTAAGTGGACCAAGTTGCCCATGGTCAAATCCAGGAGAAAACATTATATTATTAAAAATTGCTTGAGATTCAGGATCATAAAGACAATGAGCTGCAGTAAGTCCAATATTTCCGATGTTAGTATTGATTACACTGGCGGAACAAGAAAATAGGTCTCCATTATGACTAATGAATAATATTCCCATGGGAAAATTTCGAATTTGATCTACATCTGCTACACTAATTGTATTATTAATTATATCATATTTTCTCTCCGAAGGGGGCATAGATTTCGTATATTTAGAAGAGTCAGTTGTATTTCTTATAGTTATGCCACCACTTCTTTTTCTAAATCTGCTATTTCTAGTTTTTAAGGGTTTAGCAATATTTCTAGGTTTTAAGGGCTTAGCTTTTTTGATTTTTTCTGGTGTCCAAAAATCGAGACACTCATCAACATTATATTTAAAAATCGTTGGAGTTGAATAACTTAAATCGGGTTTGAAGATAAGCACAACTAATGCAGTAAAGAAATAAAATACAGTTTTTTTATTCATTTTTATTATAAAAGAAAAAATATATAGAGGATTGGTTTTGAAAAAAACTGTGAGAAGGTAATATTAGAAGATGATTTTTTTAGTGACTTTTTATATTTAAAAAATTATTTATCAATCACCTTTGTAAAGAAATTGTTTTAGGATTAATAATCCTGATAATCCTATGCACATCTTGAGGAAACGTTCAATTAGTAAATACTTTATAAATTGATCAGAAGAAAGGCTTCTAACCAATTATCACTATAGATTTTTTTTTTATATTATATCATTCACTACAAAAATAACACATATTTTTAATTACGTATTCAATTTTTTTTTTTTTTCGCCGATATTTCATTCATTTTTATTCTTTATAATATTATAATTTTCTTCTAGTCCTTTTAAAAAAATAAAATCCGTCATTGCAAATGAGATCATTTTTACCAAATTTGTATATTAATCTATGAAATAAAGAAAAATGGTAATTTATAGTTTGCCGATTAACGGTAGAAATATTTAACAAACATATGAAGTGTATTTAGAAATAAACGAGTAGTAGATAATAAGTTCATAATATCCTTAAGCCTAGTTTTAATATTTGTTCCGAAAGGTTATACGAAGATTAAAATCATCCATATATTTTAAAACCATAATATTTTTCGTTCGTTTTTGGATCTTGTGAATAGTACGATCGGAATTATCTTATTATGGTAATGGTAAATCAGTGGGGCAATTGCAATCCAATCAATCAAATCGTAATACCGTAAATCCAATCGTGGCATCCTTATATAATTTAGAATAATCAATTGAGCATCTTATATAAACTTATATATTGCGACATTTAACTCGCTCATTTATCAATCGAGTTACATGGTTTGCACTACCTCAAAGCATCGGTATATTTTCGATTGCATTCTAGGCATATTCCATAAGATGCCATTTTTCATTCGCTTATAACATGTAGATAAAAGTTTTCTTCTTTAAAAAATAGTAATTTTTGTGTGAATTTATGTTAGAAAAGGTCACATCTAATATTCTGATTTACATATGCTAATATAGAATAACGTAAATTTACATTTGCAATGTTCATTTTACACAATACAAATTTCTTGGTAGATTATTCCTAATCTATTATTTTATCACAAGTTCACACGATATGAGCAGAGCCGATCCTTTTCAAAATATTACTTTTTAAATTTTATTTATTACTCTTAACTAATTTATTAACTTGATGATGATTCGGTTAAGATCGACAGAATTTGTCAATTATTTTATAATAAAATTCTAGGAAATGGTAAACCATTGTTAGTCCGGAGCAATAATAATATTTGGATTAATTAAATTATTGTTTAATAAATAAATTTCATTTTCATTTATGTAACTCGTGTTCCTTATGTTGTCAAACTACTGTTTAATAAACAAGTTATATTGGTCAACAATCTTTTTTAACGCGACGGGACAACCGAAAATCCTCACGTGCATCAATTTTCACACTAACTTCGTAACCTTAATATAGTTTGAATCTAGATTCTATACTAAAAATATATTATTTTAAAAAAATTGATTTTTTCAGCATAAAAAATACCCAAATAGTATACCTAATAGATACTAAAATTTCAACTATAGTTATATATACTTACCTATACACGCTCGTCAGATTCCAAGCTATAATAAAATATATATTAATTTACCCCAATTATATATAATATAATATAGTCGATCTTAACCGGAATATTTTTAATTCATTATATATCCATTTATTAATTTTAGTAGATATTATAGGTGGATACTATATTTTTAGTTGATATTAAGGTTAATGATTAGTGAAATAAATATAATTTCAATTTTTAATACATTTTTTGTGTAATCAATATTATTAATAGTTAATTTTTATTTAGCATCGTCACTATCATCATCATCATAATTATTAATAATTACAATTATAGTTATTCAGCATAAGTTTCTTCATTTTCTGCGTCTGATTATTATTATATAGACTACCGGATTGGCGTTACATAGTGATAGCGGCGTTATTGATATTATTATCACCTTCAAAATTTGATTTACTAACCTAACTTCACCTGTATCATGAGCTTCATCAAGAAATTTTAATAGGCGATGATCAACGGAGGATTTTCGAAGGACTCCGGGTATTTCACTTTTTTGAATTCGCTCGCGATTTTCGAAGCGTAAAGCGATTTTCTGCTATGCTATTTCTTAGATATAAAGGAAGGTCATGTTATTGGCTACAAAATAATATGTGTTTCATTCCGATAGCATCGATATCGCAGAGTTATTCTAGTTTAAAAAAAACGTACGTGAAAATCACGTGAAATTTTCTCACGGACGCTTTTCTTTAAACCAGAATAACTCCGCGAATATCGATGCTACCAAGATGAGACACATATAATTTTGTAGTCAGGAATAAGGTCTTTCTTTCCATATGAAAAATATAATAGTAAAAATCACTCTACGCTTTGTAAATCGCGAGCGAAGTCGAAAAACGTAAAAAATCCTCCAGAGTCCTTCGTTAGAAACGAAAATCCTCCGTTGATCAGTTGCTTGACAAAACCTCTTTAATGAATGGCGAAACTATATTAATATTATAATAATAGATGTGTCGAAATTCCAAAATCTGCGAAAGTCGAAACTGTTGAAACTATCAAAACTATAACTAGCTTGTCGAAAATCTAGAGAGATAGTTTTGTCAAGCAACTATAATTTTATCTACTTTTTTTAAAATGTAACTACTAGTTCCTTTGCTTCAAGGAATCCAAAAAAAATAAAAATGGTAAAGAATTCTTGTTATAATATTTTCGAGAAAATTAAAATTTGTAAAATTTTATTAAAAAAATATTTACGTTCATTTTCATTCATTTATCTTTATCATTAAAATTCTTATCAAACTTTTTTAATGCTATATTCCGTCAATACATTTGTATCACTGTTGATTTCATCCAAAAATTGATCCATCAACGCACTTAGACTTAAATATTGTAAACTTATCAATTGTCTATTGTGATATTTACACTTTTCCATTTTTTATTTTGAATATTCAGCAATCTTGCTGATTAGTCACAGTGAAGACCTTTATTAATATTATACTGCATGATATAATATTCAGTAATTTTTAATTTCTTTCGAGAACGAAAAAATTCAAACCAAATTTATTTTCTCTTTTTCAATTTCCTCACTCAATAAATTTGAGAAAACATAAAATGGGATTCTGTAAATAATGTTATCAATTTTAATTATTATCATTATCATTGGTCATGGAACTCAAAGAATTTCAAAAATAATCTTTATAACTAAACGAGTGGAGAAATATATAAATTTATCAATTGAATGCAGATCGAGACTGGAAGAAATTGCAAAAGGTAATTTGGTATTATATATTATGCTAAGTGGGTTGATGGAGATATTAAAAGATGAGATATTTTTTTTTTTAAAAAAAAAAAAAAAAAAGAAAAGAACGATAAATTTGTAGTATTAAAAAATTTTGATTATTTTGTAAATTTTAATGAAGAGCTCTCAATGCGGGAAAATATTTTTTGAATTATCTCATTTAAAAATAAATCTGGATTGTGCACTTTAACATTTTTGATCGGTTGTTTTGGTTGTTATTTGTTATTGTGGGGTAAAACTGTAATGTTATTGTGAGGTAAAACTGTAAAACGTGACAGATTTTTGAAGTAATCTTAATTCGAGTAATCATTAGATTGCACATAGTAACTTCCTTTTCAAGCAGAATAATGAACAGAATCCTACGATCAGACAAAGTAACTTTATTAAAAACAGTCTTTAGCAGAAAAAGATCTTTCTATATTAAATTATTTACGAAAGAAAAGTTAGTGTAACAAAACGAAATGACTTCTCTTTCAGCTTAATGGGAAGGAGAATAATTGAAGAGGTCAATGCAACTTACTTTAATTACATCATGACGAAGTTTAATTATTTTTTATTATCTATTATCTAAATTGATAAAACACAAACTTAAATTATATATTGACAGATTGTTAAAAGGAAACTTATTTCTTGTTATTTATGTAGTTGGTAGTAATAAATAAATAATGACCAGTGATCTGCATAGGGGCTGTTTTAATTAATGAATTTTTATACATGTCGATCACTTTTGGTAAAATCATTCTGATTAAATAGAAGTAATCTACGTAATTATGCCTATTAAAATTTTACATATAGTATTGTATTATTATGCACAATCTATTAAATTTTATTATCAGCGGATAAAAATTGGGATGTTTTTACTTGAAGCAATAATTTCGCGCACGAAAAATTACAAAACTTGATATATATGCGAACACAAAAATCTTGTTTCATCAGGTATTGTGATACTAGTATTTGTATTTGCAAAAATATAAGATGCAAGAAAGGTATATTTATCTTTAAATTTTTGATCAAAGTCATCAGTAACTTATATCTCAAGCTTAGTTTCACCCTATTTTTATAGTTAAAGAATATACAAAGTCAGAAAAAGAAGACAATATTTCTTCAAATTCTCCTTTTTCTCCACTTTTTGTAGACTATGACCATCCAATTTATCGTAAATCTAACAACATTGACACGAAAAAAAAGCCCTGATCACAAGTTTTCGTTCGCCCAGACAAAATGAATCGCCAAATAAAAATCGTGCAACACAATCTAAAACACAACACCTCCAGACCACGTGTGGAATATAACATGACAAAGAAAATAAGAAATTGTAGCACGAATACACGTAACGAATAAAATAAAATTTAATACAACAATTACCTAAATAAAAAAAATAAACAAATACCTAACGAAAAAAAAAAATAACCGTAACGAAACTACGGGAAAAAAACTAGTATAAATTAAAGTGTTAAATATATGCATAAAAGTATCTTTAATCTTGACGTTCACCAAACGCACTATGTCTAAATGTGACATTACTGAACCTAATAATACTATATTCGTCCAATATATTTATTTGGTTACTGTCGTCGCTTTCGTTGCGTTAGTGAATTTGTGATTAGTTATAACATACTTATTCTTGAAATCACGTCTCAAGATGTGGTAATAAAATCAATTTAAGAATTTCCAATTATAAATTATCACTACGAAACAGGCCAAAAAAACGAACTTTTCTAATAATAATCTATTATATTTGACGCATTTTTTTGGTTATCACTGAACATCAACCAAAAAATTAATTTAAACTTTCTCAAAGTATATTATTATTTATTTTTTTTTTAAAAAAAAATCATGTTCAAACTCAATCATTGATCAGTTATATTATCAAATAAAAAATTGAGGGCATAAATACAACTTCTTTAGAATCGTCCTTCTTAATGTTATTAAATGAAAGAAAAAGACATTAATAAAATATGTTTACGAATGAATCAATTAATGTGTGACTATATTTATATATTTTCAGGTTTTTGAAGCTCATACTATGATGAATTACAAGATCCAGCAACTATTCTTCAAAACTACTGTAACATTTATTTCTTTAAATATTTTATATACTTTCGTGCAAATTTTACGTGAAGATTTTTTCCGAGCACAGAAATTACACTCGAAAAAATCAATATTATTAAATTTATGGGTTATTCTGGTTATTATAAGGATTACTATTTTTTATATAACTATATCGTACAATTTGCGCTTCAAAAAGAGAAGCCATCACGAAAAAAATATTTTGAAATAAGAAAAAAATCAAATGTAAAAAAATTAACGAAAAAAAATAGTTTCTTTGAAATAAGATTTTTAATTATTGTGTATATTATATATATATTCATTTTGTACAAAAAATATAATTCTTACAATAAATCATCAAAAATAAATCAACTCGAGAAAATAATTTAAATATTATAAATAGAGAAAATGAAGGTGAAAAACTTGTAATTATGGGAAATCAAGGTGGAAAATGTTCGAATGATATGGAAAGATGAATAGATTGGAGTCAAAGAGAATAAAAAATACTATATGTATATTTCCTTCGATCGTGTTATGTTTATTTAATTATTATCATCGAGAACAATTGTGTTAATTTTTAATCATTATAATTTTATAAAATGAATTAAATGGAAAATAGATAAAATTTTCCATAAAAAGTAAAAATAAAAATAAAAATAATGAGAAATTTCTGATCTAATCAAGGAAAATTTTATGTATTAAATAATTGGTATGTATTGTATTTTAATTTAATTTTATAGCATTCCATTCTTAGTATATAATATATCGAGTCTTGTAATAGGTATATTTGATTTTTGGATCGATTACGTAACGAGATTGATTATACATATTTGGTTTTGTTAATCTATAAACGAAGCAACATTTTCTTGATTATTTTATGATAACTATTATTTTATTATTATCGTTTACAATAGACCCCTGACTTTTAATCATGTCATGTAGTTATTTTCATGATTATTCATGAATAATAAGTTTAGATATTTATAGAACCATAAAGTTTTTAACTTTAAGAATTATACTCTTCAATAATTTTATATTTTTATCCCTTTTTATCACATAATTATCCTTGAAAGTTCTAAATAAATAACTTGGTAATTTTAACTTACATAAATTTTGAATAAATAAAATCAAGATATTTTTTTACTTCTATATTAACAAATCATCCAAGCTATGGAAAAATCGGAGTGTATGTACTCAATAAACTCAATAAATAAATAAGATTTATTTAAGCCAACCTATTTTGTCAGTAAAATGGAAAAAAATCTGATTCATACAAATCATAATAACAGAATTTATAAAGAATAATAAAATATCTTGACAAATACAAAATTATGACAATTTGCTGTAAGATTCCCTTATGCATCCACAAAAAATTCCAGTGGGCAAGCATAACCTCATTCCTTAATCTCCAAATTATTTAAGTAATCGATTTTATGTAAAAGGTAATTTTCTCAAACTTTATTTTATGTTTTATATAATAAATCGTTAAATTTAATTCTAATTTAGCTACAATACTTAAAAACATTATGTTGTAATGGAATAATCAGAATAAAAAGGAGGCTTAAAAATACCAAGACAGTTAGTTACTAGTTAAAGAATGATGAAGATGTTGGTGTTTATTAACTATTTTTGATAATGATATAATCTACTATTATTATTACTAAAATGGATATACTAATTTTTTTAAAGATATTTTAATTTCTAAACGTTTGTTCTTTTAAAAGTTTAAGTTGATCTTGAATACTATGATAATTATATTAGTGTCTAATTTCAATATTATTCATCCGTTATCTTCCAAAATAATATTTATATGATCAAAAAAATATAAAATATAATGGACAAATGATGATTAAATAATTAAAATATGTAAATGTTCAATAATCCAATACACTAAAAAAAAGCTAAAATCAAATTACTAAAATTACGAAATGCTACAATGTATCTCTCGTCAGCGGATTCACTGTCACCATAACACTTTATAGAATTTGAATATAAATTTTATTAATAAAAATAAAATATTTATGCTAATATCTTTGGGAAAAATCAATGAAGTAGTCTTATCTCATTATTATAACTAAATTTATATTGTTTAGAGTAGTGAATGGAGAATGGCTTTCACCTTTCTTCTTTGACTATATTTTATAAATAATAAGAATGAAATTTAATGAACCATTACTCATTGAAAATTTTTTCATATTCTTCATTAGTAAATCAATTTTTTCATTATATATTCTGATACAATCATCAAAAAGTATAAGAAAGAGGAAACAATAAGAATTATTAATTGAGGCAACAACATTATTGATAAACCATAGTTAATTTGTTAAATTTCCAGATACTAAAATAAAACTTTGATAGTTGTAAAAGTGTGGAATAATTGAAATAATTGACAAATGCTCTCAAATTATAAAATTTTTTATCATCACAAATAGTCAACTACGCCAAGCCATTCCTTAAATTAGAAATATTTTAAACAAAGGAATTTTTTTTTAAAAAAAAAAGAATATTTCAAACAATCACTCACGTGTGCAGTACAATTTTTTAACGCCGATCAACTTTTTTGTCAAGAAAATTTTTATTTCGTTAATTTATTACACATTAAAAAAAAATAATTCTTAATATGTCTTTCTAGCTGAAATTCTTTATTAATGAATGCAGTTGGGTATCAAAAGTCACGGGGCAACCAGAAATTAAAAAAAAATTCGCAAAGGTATAGTAGTGAAGGGGTGATGATAATATTTGTTATCACATCACATATGAGGAGTCACGTTAAAAAATAATCGATCATAACATCTATTTAATGTGCGTTATCAATATAATATAATTTATTCTAATCTTTCGTTATAATATTAGTAATTTATTTAGCCTCATTGTAAAAAAAATTCTTACATGATTGTAAATAATCAGAACGTGAATGTAGGAGTATCAAAAATCCAATTTGAGCAAAGTAAGGAGGAATTTTGATAAACGTTTTAATTACTCATTATGTGTTCATCACTTCACTTTAAATATATAATATATATTATTCAATTTCGGTGCTTTATTTACTCCCAAGAATTTTTTCTTTCGTTTTTTTTCTTGGGGATATAAAGACCGATATAATTGATAATAATTAATTTTAGGAACAAATTAATTAATTAATAATAATAATCAATTTCATGTTTATTAAATAATCAAATTAATTGTGGTCGAAATAATCGAAATTATTAAAATAAAATAAATAAAATAAAATAAATAAAATAAAATAAATAAAATTAAATAAAATAATAAAAATTAAAATAAATAAAATAAATAAAATAAATAATAATAATTAAAATAAAATCATTCAAAATGGATGAAATACAATGGGTGAGTAAAAATTAAATATTAATATATACATTTTTTTTTCGAATATTCAATTAAATGATTTGAATGATGATTATTATTATTTTTCTAGGTTCATAATTCGATCAATGAATATTCTAATGGTTCTCATTTAAATGGTTACTCTAATAATGATCACGGACATAATAATTCCAGAGGAAGTGAAGAGAATAAAAAATATAAAAGACAACATAACAATAATTATAACCCGACGATCAGTAACAATTTTCATCATTATTATCAACAGCAATATATTGAATTTAATTTGAGCGGTATAAATATCAATGAATATAAAGAATTGGCAGAAATAGGAATAAATGATTATAAATTAAGATTTCGGTATAAATATCTTGAGGAAGGAATTTCAATTTTTCTAAATGAGAATAAAGGAAAAATTTTTATTTCCTTAGAAGCTTTGGAATCTATTTCTAAAGTTCATTTAAATCTTATCATATTAACATTGAAAGAAAATGCAATTAATTTGGTAAGATTTTATTTAATAATTTTAATAATATTTATTATAATTTATAATAATAATCCTTATTATTATTACTAATAATAATAAATACTTTTAATATTTTAATAATAATATTTTTAACAGATTTCATATCGTTCAAGAGAAAGCTTTATTAATGATGATCCAATTCGTGAAAATTTGAGTTAAGTTTCGATTTCTCAATTACAAATATTATTATTTTTGTTATTATTATTATTATTATTATTATTATTATAAGTTATTTGTTATTAATTATAATTTTTATTATATTTTCTAAAATTATTCAATTAGATAAAGCAACAACCATTCACATTTATGCTCAAGATTCGACACCGCAACAAGCCATCGATATGACTGGATTACATATTAATTATATTAACGTTAACGTTATATTATGAATGGATGGAAATGAAAAGTCTTGTTTGTGTTCAGTTTATTATAAAAATTCTTGTCAATCT